AGTTTGTAAACTTTGACGGGATCTTTTTCACTGCCATCCGTGGCGAACATTTTTGGTGGAAACGGCCTGACATCAGTTGCGTTTGCGCCGGTACGTGTTTTCGTTTGCCTTTCGTTGTATTCTAGATACTCGACGCCACCCGCTGTTTTGTTCAAAGTCACATCGCCCCAGCACATACTGTGATGTTCCTGAATCCCACGAAGTCCGAAATGAAGAGTATTGTTCAGCCAAAGAGAGTTAAGAAGCGCCTCAGGACTTGAAATTCCAAGGAGACCTTTTTCATAGAGGACTTTCAYCTCATCTTCTGTCAATGCCACTGATGCATTTGGCTTATTACCTTTGCCTCGTTTCTTTAGCTCTTTTTGCTTAGACTGCAGGGTTTTACGGTTTTTTTCAAATGCCAAATCGTTGATAATACTGACTTGGTAGTTTTTGCGCTTTAAAAATCTTTCAAAGCTAGCAATCATGCCTCGGAGGGACGTTGGCTCATAATTTTTTCCCTCTACTGTACGAACGGTAAGTATGAACTCGCTCAGCAACTCMCTTTGAAGCAGGACTTGCTCATCCGCCATTAACCGCTTTGTTGTGCCCACAACACTAGTGCGCATGCTCACCGTTCAAGTGGCATCCAGTCCCCTATCTGATCTCTGGTGGGTGGGGAGGGGCTTTGCTCAGCAGTATCACGGGGACTATCACGGTTTTAGTCGCCATTTTGGCGAGTTGAGGCAGAGTTGCGGAAGACGCGATTTTGAAATAAATAAATAAATAATGGGTTTTTATATAGCCCATTTTAAATATCTCAATGCGCTTCACATTCATAACCAGTGGAGGACTTTATGGGCTGCGTATTAAGGCGCTAATGGCAGCCGTGCAGCTTACAATAATGAGTGTGAAATGCTAGTAGATTGGTATTATGCCTCCAAATTAATTGGAATAGGCTGTTGAACCTGGAGGCAATCCCCTACTCTTACACGAATAATTTAACAGGTTCTTTTATGTCCCCCATTAACTGTAGGTTAGGAAGAGTTGGGAGACGGGGCCTACGGTTTTAAGTCCTTGTCCGAGAAGACTTGAAGGTCTAACCATTTGCAGATGTAATTACAAAGGCAGCACCTTCRAAATTCTCCTCAGTTATTTTAAAGACCCTGAGCGTTGGTCCGGCCGAGGCTTGAACCACGACCGCCCGCACAACAGACAGACGCTCTTACCAACTGAGCTAACCGGGTGGCGATTGAAGCCCCAATACATTCACTCTGAATTTCCTGTCATTTGTCTTGGAAGTTGAACAAGCTAGATTTATCGGCGCTTCATTTAGTACATATTAACCACTATAACGGGAGGTATGGCAGACGGATAAGTGTAAAATCAAGAAAGCATAAATAAGAGAGGGAAACTTCTTAATCACGCGCGCGCCATGTAAATTCCCGGTTGGGCTATTTTTAGTAACGGGATGCAGTTTAAATTTCGCGCGTGCACGCGCGCGCTCTTTCCGTTTCGTGTTTAATGAAAAAATAAACGGAAAGAGAGCGCGCGCGCGAAAGTTGATGACGCATGGGAGTAGGGTAAAGGTGCTGACACACGGTGCAAAATTGCACGCAACATTACATGCAACATGAATTTGAATCAGGGTGACACACATTGCAACAAAATCACGCAACATCTCTTGAGTCAGCCTGCTATGCTAAGATATTTGGTCAGCAGTTATAAATTTGGTGCAAGCTGATTGGCTGGAAATTTCAAAATGTTGCAGGAAATGTTTCATCCATATTGCGCGCAATCGTTGCAAGAGTAGAGCTCGATTCAACTTCAGATTTGTTGCATGCAACGTTGCGTGCAACAAGTTTGGGGTAGACACACGCTGCAACAGTCCTGTTGCGTAGGTTTGATCAGCGAAGTTTATGCTACCACTTTATCCTGGATACGGCAAATGTTAAATTCTTCATCTTGAGATAAGCTCTTCTGTGTCTTAGAAGTTCAAAAACCACAAGACGATTGTATAGGACTGAACATAAAAGATAGACTTGGATTTCGTGGCTGCAATTGCTGCAATATAAGTGATATTTTTTGAAATTATTAGATTATCAGGAGAAGTCATTCACTAAATGTATGATTTTATTGGAGAAATAGAAAACGCGCGCGCGTGCTGTGTACTGTCATAAAGCACGCGGGGATTGGCAGAGCACGAGAGAAGTGTTAGGAGAAGCATGACGCTTAGCGGAGTGCTTCTGGACACTTCTCGAGTGTTCTGCCAATCCCCAAGTGCTTTATGACTGCACACAGCACAGCAAGCAGGTTTTTTATTTCTTTTTTTAAAAAAATTACAATAATAGATAGGAATGACGCAACTACAAGTGCGCGCGCGTGCGATGTGCTCTCATAAAGCACGCGCTCCAAACCAATCAGAACGCGACATTCATAACAGTTATTTTATAAAGTTGTATATACGGTTGCCGTTGCTGTTAATGTTACATAATGCGATGGCACGTTTTTGGGGAGTAAATGTTTTGAATACCCTGAATGAGCCTTTGCATGGCTTGCGATCAAAGTTCACTACTAACCAACAGTTCTAATCAGAATTAAGTGAGTCTGCAAATTAAATATGGACAAACTATACATGATGTTATCACTAATGATGTTTAATAAGCATTTCATTGATATCAACAATAAGATCAAGATTGTGATTGTGATTTTGATCGTCACTAGTTTACAACTTTTATTGGGTATCAATCAGGAAGGAAAATTACAGAATCAACATGCTACCCAAAGAGGAAAGTGCGAGCGGGACTCTAGGTCCCATGCTAGGCATTTCCTTTTGACTAACGATATAAATCAATAGAGAGTTGTCTTGGAAAATTAATCCAGTTGTATTAGTAAAAACTGATAACTAGTGAGCCGAGAACGGCCAAAAAATAATCAATGGAGTTCAAACAAACAATTAAAAGTCCCTGGGGCTCAGGAACTAATGACCAAGTACATGTCAGATCAACATGAAATGTGTCCTCAAGCAAAGATTATTGTGATAATCTTCACAGTTATTGTTGTTATCCTAGTTATAATGCTTTATCATCTCTTTTATTAAAGTTTAGAAAAAATGCAAACCGCCTTATCAGCCAAGTTTGCTGTGTCCACTGCAGAGCCCCAAGAAAGATAAATCCCGCTCCCAGCATGTCCATAGTTATGAATTAATGCTGGACATTCAGGGTCGATCTCMTTACGGATCTCATCCTTACGAGCTGGGCGTAGTCCGGCAATAACTTGTTCCACATCTTTATAATCAAATGCTCGCAGTGGAGGAAACAAAGCCTTGGCGTTGTCAAGCATTTTTCTAGGAATTTCATGGCTCATGTCAACATCTGTCAGATCAGTTTCGTGCGCTTCAACACTACCACCGATCCAGATACTGTGGTCTCCTGCGGACAGAGAATACAAGCTATTATGTTGTTATAGAGATATACTAAATGTATACACTTTAAGAAATATTTCGAAGTATTGTTTCTACAAATATCAAATTTGCTCAAAATATTAAGAATGTGCTTTTTTTGTCATCGGATTCCCCARTGGTTTATTGGAAGGATGAGACGAGGATTGGACGACAATTCTCCATTTTGTTAGGCTACAACATTTATCTATGCGTTGTCAATGATAACACAGATAGCTCATGAGAATAAAAGAATAACTTCAAAGCAAAAGTGAAGTGGACTCAGTTTTCTTTTCCGATTTCRTTTTTAATTTCATAAAGTATATACCAAAAAACTGGGTGATCTGCTTCATTCAGTATATCATTAAGAAAATCATCTTTATCACAAAAATGCATCATCATTATCCTTTTTTATAATTGTGGTTGCTGTTCCCGTAATTGATGGTTTTCACTGCCGCCATGTTGGATGAATTTAACGAAAGATTGGTCATTTGTCTCTTTTGTTATATCATCCAACATRGCCACCGTTTCTTTTCTTATTTCATTTTCGTGAGAATGATTTAAAACCAGCAATATGAACTGGTAAACACTGAACTATTCTTCCTACAGCTTTGATTACTGGATGCACATACCTCTTGGAACAATGTACAGGCACAAACTTTTGTTATCATGTCCAGGGTTTAATGGCATTGAGTGATGCAAAATGATGGAAAAATCCAACTTAGGCATCAGCACACCGTCATTCTTTATTTTCAGCACATAACCTGCGAGAAATAAGCCAGATTATAACCTCATCCCTTGCCAAACCTAACATACAAGTTGGACGTGCATTCCACTAATTAAATTCGCGCAGAAACCCCTCGACTAAAACCATTTCTTATTTTGTATTTATAAAAATCAAAGACACAAAAATTGGTTGGTTGGGTTGGTTGGGTTGGCTGGGTTGGTTGGGTTGGTTGGGTTGGCTGGGTTGGCTGGGTTGGTTGGGTTGGCAAATGGAATAAGGCAAATAAACAACTTTTTTCAAGAAGATATAACTAGCTAACTAGTGTGAGCTGCGTCGGTGTTTCTAATGAAACAGTAATGATAAAAGGGTAAAATCATGCACCGTGAAAAAACTTACTGACGTTTCGGACGCTAGTCCTTCATCGGAGTAAAAGAGGAACTTTTTTGAGACGTTAATCGGGCTTTTTTTACTGGGTTGCCTGTGGCAGCCAAGTTTAAAAATCGTTGCGTGTCAACGTATTTTCCAGCATCGGAAAATGCCAAAATTGCGCAATAGTACCTAGGGGTCTTCACGGCATTACCCAAGAGTCATTTGTAGGTAAATGATACCGAGACCCCTTGAAAAGTCTGATTTATATTCAAGTGACAGTTGCCAATCAATGTCTAACTTATCAAAGTGATTGATTGGGGTGGGACTGCGAATGACGTGTCGGAAATTAATAAATGTCCTCGCATGATCTTTTTTCCTTTACTGCTGAAATCCAAGGCTCAGTGCAGGTAGATAGCTTTCACCTTGATTTTTGTTTTTTGTTTTAAGTCATTTTTGTATCTACTGCATATTAATAAGCAGTAGACACTATGCCATCGAGTTTACTGGGATATACTTCATATCCTTTCTAACTAGCAGAAAATATAGTTAAATGGCATACGACATAACTGACATAAAGTCCATCCCGGTGTAAGGGTTGTAAAACTTACTTCGGATTACTTTCGGATATCACGACAAAGCTATCATCGCATGGCGAGGATAGCCGATGTTATCCGAAGTCCCGCGTACTGGCTAGTGAACTTTGCTGCTCAGTTTGCGACTGCTTACGACTTTTTGATTACTGGGAAACGTTTGACCAACGTCTCAAACATGATTTGGTAGGATTCTAGGATTCAGTGATTTCTACAAGGTAATCACAGCCATTTTTGTAGTGAATTTTATCTGTTTTTTGAAACAAGGTAGGCAAACAGGTTTCCGGCATCGAATATGTTAAGTGTTGTTTTATAATTAAAGTGATTTCAGGTATTTGCAATATCTAGAAAAAACTTATCGCAAAACACGACCACTAAATTGGCGTGTTTGTGCTACACGAAGCATGTTAACAATGTCGCTTCATGACACTGACTCAGATTTTTACAGTGACAATATTTGAACCCTTTAAAGGGATAACTGACCTCCTTAAGCAGAATATTAAGCCTTGAATACCTGCAAGTTCACGAATATTTTACATATACATGATTTTAAAATGATGCTGTGTACCTATCAGCAGTAGACACATGTACTCATCGAGTACGTATTTTTTTACTTGCATGATTTTTACTTGAATAATACTATCCCTATAAACGGTTATAGAAAGCTTATAAAAAGGTTTAAAGAGTTTTAAGTTTGATTTGTGTTATCGCATGGATTGAGCTACCTCCTACCTCCTACCTCCTACCTCCTACCTCCTACCTCCTACCTCCTACCTCCTGTCTCTTATTATCCTTATTCATAACATTTGCTGTTGTTGTTGTTGTTGTTCTCGTAATATACACCTATTTCAGAAATCGTTGTCGCACCA